ACATCTTTTATTATAAAATTCGTTAAATATAGTGAGTTTTCTTCGGATGAGTGAAAAAAAGTGCTTCTTTTTCTCTCCCATGCTTTTTACTAAAGTCCTCCCGTTCCTCATTTCCCTGCCCAAAGTCTAAGCAACTTTTATACATTATCCAATTTATGGGATGATAAAATCAACAACAACAAAAGAAGTGTTACTTTGACATTTTGTGTCTTTCTAAAGCAAATTTTCATTTGAATTATAAAAAAAAAGAAGTTAGAAAAATATTACAAAATACGTTCTACACTAAACCATACATTAATATTTACAAATTGCATACTTTACAACAAACTTGACTTTTATACATAAAACTCATTTCATGGCTTTGCACAGCTAAGGTTTTATTTAAAGTATTAAATAAGTCACTATAAAAATGTACTTTAAGATATATTTAAAATCTACATACAATTTCTAACTTAACTTAGATTTCTTTGCATACCAAAAAAAGTAAGAAGAGATACTAAACTTATTATTATCCAACATGTAATACACACAATACAGACATAAACATAGAAATATCAGAAAACATTTTAACTTAACAATGAAAATATATGTTAATCTCAATGGTATCTTAATAGTTGAAGAAAATATGCACTTCATAAAGAGTTATTCTCAAGTGTAAGGACATTTTTTAGTGTAGTAACTATAAAAAAATTTGTGAAAAAACTGAAGAGACAAGCATATTGATTTTATATAAACACATCATACTTGCCTTACCTTTCCGTTCTGTTAGAAAACAGTTTTGAAGTCTAGTTTTGAAGTAATTAAATACATAATATGTATCTGTGTCTCTGCGTTACATTCAAGCTATTTAAAAATATTATTATTTATTTTAAGGGTAGTCTAGAGAAAATTAACGCTTACTACTTTATCGATAAGGTCATTCTTATTATAAGGCTTCATGATATTATTCATAACTACCGCCCCCTTCCACCCAAGACTAACTAAATGAAACTTCGTAGTGTGTTGACATGTAATGTGAAACGTTTTCAGTTAAAAATCTTGCATCTGTTTCTGACACTTTTCTGAACTAACGTCTTCTTATTAAAAACATATTTGTTTGGAATCCATACAGTTTATTTGATCTAGTACAAACCTGTAGGAACTAAAAAAATTATTTTATGGTGAAAAATACCGTGCATTCCTTATGCTATAAAATAATCGTTTTCTCTAAGAGCCCATTGATTGGCAGTTTTTCCCGTATAATCTAAGAACAGAGCTATTTTTTAATGCTGTAAGGATTTAAAACTCATAAAAAATTTATCATACGACAAATTTTTTTTTCTCTTTTCTCATAACTTAATGACCAAAGCTACAAAGTCCTGGTGCTGAATCTCTACATTTTTAATCACCACATAAATACAAACACATATTCTACCTATTTAAAAATCTGAAAGATTCAAGAGATTACTATAAGAGTTATAGTGAGAGGCTGATTTCCCACTTAATATATTCTTTATTTATCGATTTTCATGCTTCTTTAATCTTGATAAACGTTTAGCGTCATTTTCTTGACGAGTAAAGTTGTATTCATTAGTTCTATTCATAGTTTTCCGTCAAATTTGCTTTCTTACGATATTTAGCATAGTTAAGACTTTTCTTAGCCCTAAAGGCTACTTTTTTTAACTTCATTAGTTTCTAATGTATTTGTTGGCAGGGTAATTTGACGTCCAATGACTCTGAGAAGGACCGGTGAGCTTCTTAAGTAAACTGTCTCTTGACTGTAGTTTCCAAGAAACGTAATTATCTCTATACTTCTGGGTAATCTTCTCTTGCCTGGAATTGTACCACTAATCGGAAGAGGAACTACAATGTTTGAAACTTTAGAGCTAGTTATAGAGCTCTTTTCCGACGTCTTTTGGTATAACGTCAAAGACGTTGGTGTCTAAAGCACCTTCTTTTTTTGCATACTCAGTTGTTTTAATGATCTGGTGAACAGATTGCTTCGTAATGCTTGCCCATTAGAGACTGTTCCGTTGGCTCAAGTTTATTTTTCCTTTATAAAGCTGTTAGGTTCTCCCATTGCAGACCTTGGAGAGGATCCGTAATTTCCGGTTGAAAGCTCGGAGTTGAGAGCGTAATACAGAGTTGTCGGTCACTGGGGCTTCCAGCATTGTGACGAACAACTCCACTCGTGACATCTGCCAGTGAATAACTGACTTGGTGTAATAATGGCCAGATTTACATATTTTTTTAGTCAACGAATCGTTTTTGGAAATGGTAGTAAAAATGTATTTGTTGACAAGGTAGTTTTAACTCATATGGCCCTTAAAAGAGTCGATAAGATTTATGGTTAAGTAAGGATCGTAAATACTCATAATGGCCCTGAAAAAGGCCTGTGGTAAGACTTTGAGCTATTCCTTATCATTATTTTTGATGATAAAGAGCCAGCTAGGGGTATCTTGACTTTCATCCTTGGTGTCTCTGTGTACGGAGATCGTACCGAAGGAAGGTACACCACTGACCAAAGAATATATCGTCTTCAGGTTAGTCCCCAGATAACTAACAGCTTATCGTTATTTAGGAAAGTAGGTCTCGAGAATACCTTTTCTGTAGGTATGCCGTTGGGATGACCACTAAATAGAAGGCTGTTGTAGCTGCCCGTACTCTTTAAATGCCCGTAATTTAAAGCCAAGAATTCTCTGACGGCACCAGGCCAGATGGTTGAGCAGCAACAAAACTCTGAAGTGTTGGAGAAGGTAGTGCTCTGGCTAGACACGTCTCCTAGTATTCTGCCGGATACGTTGACTTTCAAAACACCAATTTTTGCGTGGCACTAGGTTATCTTAGCGATCCTGGGTAAAAACCAATTTATCTCGCTTGCCCACAATAGAGGAGCGTCATCGATAGCTGGAATGCCCAGCTGCTTGACTGATAACTCTGTTCTTGGTGTATTGCTGATGAACGACTACGATTATTGAAAACTTGATGGAGCATCGTATAACCACTTTTTACTATCTTTGATTGCTGGTATCTTCAATTTTACCTTGGTGCCACATAGCGGATCCTACTGAACTAAAGCGCAAAGCCAGCTTATTTAAGAAAAACTTTGAGCTAATTTATCGTTATTATTATGAACTCCTTCAAGATCAAAACTATGCAAAAATCACCTTTGAATCATCAAGAATCAGTATAAAAAATTTCAGCAAAATCAGTTGTGTAGATTTCGCAGTTAGCAATCACGACGGGTTTAGCAACTTTGTTTTATATATTAGTATAATGAAGCCAGCTTTTCTGTAAGAAAAAGATTATAAAATCTTTTAAAAATTAATGAATCCCAAGCTGGTTAATACTAGTTGTGAATTTCAAGTCAAAATGTAAAAACTTGAATCTGAGACTAATAAGTGCGATCCAATTTTCATTTTCCTTCTTTATATTTTAACAAATCTTGCCAAAACCAAACTAAAATTATACATTGAAGATTAAATAATGTGTAAAAAGTTACGTTTTCGAAAGATCAGGGATTAGCCGTCGGCCCAAAGGCTTTATTTGCTTCTACTTATAGTATACTTTTCTTTGAAATTGTTGACTCGCCGTTGTGGTGTTCGGTTTCACCAAGCAATATGTATGGAGTGGTGTACAATGTGCTGGGGTTGACCTACTGTTAGAGTTTATGTTTTATGCCATACGGTAGTAGCGTATCTTATTGTACGTATGTTTTTTGTAATTGAGTAATTGGAATGTTTTTGAATCAAGAAAATTAATTTAATCAACAACCAAATTATGTCTTATCTGATGATTTAATAAATTTAGAAATATTAGAAAAAGTTAATTTTACAAATTGTATAAGTAATAAAGTTTCAGATTCACATTTTCATTGTAATCTAATTTATAGTTTTCTTAACTTCACTTACTTCTATGATTGCTGGTTAGCCGCTGCTTGCTCGCACGCAGTCACAAGATCTTACAAAGTTGACCGCAACGACGTTCCTAATGCTACAGGAGAGCACTTGTAGCGATGACGATAATTGGGCTTCTGCTTGGTTTGCTCAAGCTTTTTTCACACAGCTTCATCACCGAACCAAGTCTTATATTTGCTTAAAATGCACGCTTTCGACACGTAGCTTAATCACTAAACTAAGTCTTACATCCGCTTAAAAGACGCAACACTTTTCAACCTTCATAGTTACTTTGGAGCACATGATCAAAGCAGAATTGCAAATATTGTTATGTGCAAGGAGCTTCTATTCTCTTGCGTTTAAGGAGGGTGCGTCAAGTTGGGGATCCGAAAGACCAATGAGAGCTTAACTTAATTACACTCGACTGACACGAGCGCAGTCGTGGTGCAATAATTTCACAGTAATTGATAGTTAAAACTGCTGATCTCTCGGATTTTACATTAAGTACAAGTTGCTGTCAAAATTGTGTATGATATCTCTTGTGTATATCCACAGTGAAGAATATTAAAATTGTTGATTAATCACATTATTTGATGTACTGATGCGAGTCGATTTCGTAAAATGAGCGTTTTATAAGATTATTTGAGGTTGCACCCGTAGTAAGAGTTTTGTGAGGGTAGCTTGTTTCAAAAGAAGTAAGTTATGTGTCACGCGATTGCATAATCAGGTATACCGCTGGATGGTTTGAGATCACTGAGCTTTTACTTTTTATAACTTAAAAACGAAACTCTGTATTTTGAAGTAATAAAAATTAAGTCCATGACATGGAATGTGACATATGTACCAAGCATTAAAACTTGCTATAGCTTGTTCAACTTTTAATGCGTGGCTTTGTTTTAGTTGAGTAAGACATTGTTACAAAAATAGACTTCTTGTTTCACAAAAAATTGTTTAATAAATAAATAAGTCTTTTTTTTAGTTACTTACTCAATTATTAATAATGATAAATGTATACCTTCTTAATGTTAACATACCACAACATAAAAAGATTTTTATCCACTACTTTATTTAATGACAAAAGCTGCTTTTTTACCGAAAGATGTAGGTGTTAACTGATGTTTTCAGGAGTCTACCAAATTACATAAGCTGGATTAAATTTGTATCACAGTTTTATTATGGAGTTGAGGCTATATCTATAATACAGTGGCGAAATATTAATCAAATTGGTAAGTATCAAAGCATTTCTTATGAGCTTATGAAATACTTAACAAGTAAGTGCTCTTCGAATTTTCCAGATTGCTCTCATGATTCCGAAGAGCCCTGTATTTCAAGTGGCAATATGGTTTTGGAAAAATATGGTTATAGTAATGACCACTACGTTATAGATTGCTTCGGGCTTTTAGCAATCATCATAATAAGTCATTTTGTAGGTTTTGTAGCAGTAAAGTATAGAAGTGAAAGTCAACCTGTTTATTAGGTCTTATTAAAAAAAAGCATTTACGTTTTGTTCAAAAATTATTAAGATAATTTTTATTGTATGAATGTATGAAGACTTATTAATATTAGTTTACATTAAGATTAATCAGAATCTGAAAATCTCTATTCTCTAAATGTCTTCTGAAATATAATAAAGATTTTAAGAGCTTAAAGTGAAAAATACTCCACTAACTATTCTATTAACTTTACATATAAGTGTCATATTGTATAGTGTGATAAAATGTAATGTACAAGCATTGAAAAAATGTCTATACTGTATAAAATTTACCCGTTGGAAAAAATTGGTAGATTAAACCTTTTAGATACTTAGCACACACGTACACATACATAAATGAATTAATTCTATAATTTACGTATGCAAGAATTCATTATATTCAAATGAAAGAAAAATAATAGATATTTTTTCAATATTATGCTTTGCTGGTTTTTCCCTTCATTAAAAACTTTTCTAAGTATGCATACTAGAAAGGATTTGGCTCACCTTCCCATCTCCCCATAAGGTGGCGTTTCTCCTAATTTTGACAACGGAAGCTGTAGCACAATTATTGTTCTACTACAGAAGGTGTAACTAGTGGCATCGTCCTAGATCATTTGGCAGTCATTTTTTTATAGTAATGTTTATTAGACCACATAAAATGAAAATACTTACATTACGAGCATGCAAACTGGTCCCAATTTATTGAAATAAATTTTTTCCAAACAATGTGGTCAAAATTGATTTTATAAATTAAAAAAAAATTTTTTTACATGAACATTCAGAGCTGTTTGCAATGATCATTCAGAGCATTTGAACAAGTGCGACCGCATAAGTGTAAACTTATGCATGCGCACTGACAGTTCATGCTTTATTGTATCGTAAACAAATGTTGGTATACACTTGTACAGACAGCCACACTGAAATGCCCAAAATGTTGCAAACAAAAACAACGACGTTTCAATACTTGTTTCACCCCTCCTTGGCCACTTTCCACCACTGTCTTAATAATTATTTCATATGTGTCACTTTTTAACACGCTCTCACACCATCCTCACGGTAGTGCTATGATGCACTTATTTTTTTTTGTCTTGAATTCCTAATTACTTTATTTATTGCATTAATTCCTATCAACAAAACAATTGTTCCAATTCCTTAACCAAGCAAAACGCTTTTCGTTCTTTGAGCGTTTTTTTAACTGTTGGACGTTTAGTGCACCCTCAGTAGGAATTATAGGGTTCACACCTGGTGCGCATCCAACCAGGGCAAGCAACAGGCCCAAGGGTGTGTAAATGAGCCACCAGGTATAAAAACTACCATGCATTCCTCTTTTTGCATAATTTAGAATTTCATTTTTCGAAAATTAGGTATATTTTTTATGAGAAGTAAGTATAACATTGTTCATTGAAAAGTTAGCATCTTCACTAAAAATATGGGATCATGCTTTCGTTGTTTTTATTGATTTGTTACTTGCAATAATTTAATTGTTCTTTCTTAATATTTAATGAGAATTTGAAAAATTTCTTGTCAACTCAACAAATATACATACTAAGTTTTAGAATGCAAAACAATGACAAATGGTATGATGATTTATTACGTATTTAACTCTTTTTTGTAAAGTTATGCTTCGAGTACTATTTTTTTAAACAAGAAAAAGTTTGTCCCAAATCTCCTTCTAAAATAATTAAATTATAACCAAAACGAATATTTAAATCACATATATCCCGTAATAGTTTTTTACTTATTTTTACGACTTTTATTGAGAGTTTTTTAAAGTTTTCTTATAGTTTTTTAAAGTTTTGTAATACAGCATCGTTTTGCATAAATACTGCTTTAAATTTGAATATAGAGCATGACTATATTTTAATAAAAATTTAAGAATGTCAATATTTTGACATCCTTCAGATAGTGTAATACAAGTGAGAGGCTTACACACTGTTACAAACCTTACCTAAAACGGTTTTATCAATGTATGTACAAATTATGCAGTTTTGGTTTTAAGCGATGATTTATCATACACAGGTCATGTTAAACTAATTTTTGTTTGTGCACTTCATGCAATGTAATTATGTATCATTCTCCCACTTCTACCGCCCTAAAGGGAAAACCTAACGTATGTCAAAATATTACCAGTTTTAGATTGTTATTAAAATTCAATCATGCTTCTTATCCAAATTTAAAGAAGTATATGTTCATTATTTTTTTTTTTTTTTTTTATAAATCAATACCTAGTTACGTAGTATATTTATTTTTAGGCTTTATTGGAAACGAGTACATATAGCCTTTGAACAGTAAGGCTTATTTTACATTAATATTTGTTACATATTATAGTATTGATTACATGTTGCAATTATTGGTTACATTCTCACATTGTTGGATACAGTTGTATGTAGTTTCATTAATACGGTGATGATGTCACTTCGACCATCTCGAGAGCGAATTATCTAGGTGGTGAGCCATTTCTGCTGCGAGAAGGTTGCGCGCACCCCTTCATGAAGAGCATTGTGTGGTGAAGAAGCACACGTACAAATTCGCAGAGGTACTTGCTCAGGAGTGTCGCACAGGCCAGAAATCGAACCCGCAGTCTCCTGCGTGCCATCTCACAAACCAACCGACCAAGCCACCGCGTGCTCATTTTTTCATTTTTTGACAAAGAAGTGTTACATTTGATATGCAGGGCACATCATACTGACTGCCTCTGGTAACAACGAGGCTATTTAAGCAAGAGGGCACCAACATGATGGAAACAAGATAACATAAGGCTCAGTGAGCCTTAAATCACGGCAGTCGAGTGTTGTCAAGAAAGTCAGGCGTTATCAAATTGAGACACTGGCGATATTTACTGGAGGAAATCACGAGTTGTAAACAGAAACACACGCTCGGCTTTGCTTTATAAATGTGGTATCTTGAATAAAGGTCTTTAAGAAAATAAGCACTGATTATTTTTGCAACGCACCTCCTTGCCAATCCCTTTCCCACGTAACAAACTTAGTGATAAGTGTGGGGTCTAGTAAAAAAATGGAGTTTTTTTTCTCTTTTATTTCATTCGTGTCACAAATCTAGCCAAAAAGCACACATAGTGCAGTGTTGCAAAAATACGACGATTAAAAATCAAGAGACTAAAGATTCGATCAAAGACAGTAGCTCCGGTCTTATCTTACAAGCAATGGCGTCAACAGCCCAGAATCCAACAAGACTAGGATACCAATTGCAGATTATCATAGTATCAAAGAGACAAACGGCAAGCGCTGAAGGAAACTTATTTATACTAGTGTGCATGTCAACTGGCACGTTAGTACATTTAAAATAAAATTATTTTTATCCTTTCCTCCCGAGGCAAGAGAGTGAAGGTACGTCTTGGATGAAGATGAGGTTGTGTGAAATTTTAATTTTTGATTTACATTTATTATTTCGTCCGCTTCTCTTTTTTAGTGTTTATTTTCATCTTAAAAACCAAAACAAAAATCATGCAAGATAACATACTTAAATACGTGGTGGACTAAGAAAATTTTTGCACAACAAACGTTAAACAGCGGGATTTTATTATGAGGCTTCATACAGACCCATAAAACATTCAGAAATAACAACTCACACCCACATCAGCTAAAGAATCGATCACTAGATTTATGATGATCGTTTTTTTACTAAAAACAGACGACATATACCTCTAAAATAATATTTGTCCCCATTGACTCTCAAACGAGAATACAGCGCGAAAATTAAGGAAACCAAGTGAAAGACAAGAGCTGCTCTTTTACTTTTTTGTCTCTGGCTTTTACTGATCTTTTCATCTGATTATTATTAAGTGATGACATATGTCATTAAACATATCCCCGCAACTAGAAGAACACATAAGATTTTTTATGATCAGAAATAAAGATACAACTCACGACCCACATATCTGAAGGAATTGGAAACATAAAAATTATAAAAATTGAACCTAAAAAGGTGCATTGTCAAGGTACCCCATATAAGTGAAATAAGGTAAAAAACGTATTACGAAGAAAGAACAGTGGAAGAATGGTAACTTTAGAGTTATTAATACATGATTTTTAACACAAATCGAAAAAAAAAAAAAAAAAAAGATGACAAAAAAATAATTGAATCCAGCGATACTACCCATGAGTTAAAAATCAATAACAAAGGCCTGGGTACTAATATGGTAAGCAAAATTTGCAGGCCAGGGCCCTGTAAAAAATAACAAAAGAAAAATATGGTGGGAAAAACTAAGGTAATAGCAATGGGCTTATTATCAAGATTAGAGCAAAACTAAATAAACCAGAGAAGATAGATACCCCTCACAAGGTGGACATAGAGACAATCCAAAAATGACCACTGACAAGTAGGGATTATAAAGATATATTTTTTGATACATACGATAATACAGGACTTACGAACAAAAAAATTGGGTTTCCTTTCTGGCAAACGAGTCAGCAAGCGAAATGCGAGTACAGCTAAAGAGACACGTGGAGCTCAAACATACAAAATAAACATACTACTGATACAAGAGACGTGATCAACAGCTATAGGATAGAATAAAAGATATAAGAGAGGAACTTAAAAAAAGAAGAAAGCCACGTTTATGGTAACGGTACCACCACTAACTAATAACTACACAAATTTGGCCAATTCGGATGCAAATAGAGATAGATTACAGAGGAATGTAGCATTTACCATGGCCTAATAAATAAAAGAAACATATGCTACATATAATCACAACTATCTATGCAGACCGCAGAACGCGCAACAAAATATTCTGCTCACGCTCAGTCATATGACAAGTAACATCCCGACTCAGAAAACTCAAACGTCCTAATACAAAAAAAGAAGTGATATTGGGGTGAGAATACAGAAAAAGATTCAGATATGAGTACAGAAGGTCAAGAAAACGTCGATGCGGATGTTAAATCAGAGGAGCCTAATAAAAAGAGTTCGCTGCCACAGCAAGCACTAAGGGATTAAAACGAGTTGGAAACACAAGATGTTGCATAGCAAGGAAGACTTAT